CTGCCCGACGTCGATAGGCCGGTTTCTGCCGGCCCCCAGCATCCACAAGAGTCTCTCTGGCCAACTGGTGGACTGAGCCCAAGCGCTCCCTCAACCGCTTAAAATAGTCCAGCTCTGGTCCACCAGGAATCTCCGGCTCAGGAGGCGGCCCAAACATTAAATCCACCAGGGTACGAATCTCCCAACCAAACACTAAAGCCGCTGGCATGCAGTGGCTGGACTCCTGCACAGCTGCCCTGTACGCCCACAGGACCAGCGGCCGGGGGTGGGGCCCGGCTCGCTTGTGCCTGGTAAGATGCAGTGTGTGCGATTTAATGACATCTAGCTGTGAAGTTGGAGACTACAACATTCAGCAAAGCTCTCGTACATGATGTTAAACAGTCCTCACAAGCATTTCACAGTGATTACTATAAATGTAGGGCAAATTTTGCAGCTGACTTGATCAAATGGAAGCCAACTTGACTACACAGCACTGGCCATTTTTGTAACTAAAACTATCAAACAGAAACTTGCATTTGGATTTACTTGTTTATGCTAAATATGTTCAGAAGAAAGCAGGCAACCATGGCATCATTCTGGAAATATTTGTTCCTCATAAAGGATTTTCATCTGGGAAAGGCCACATCAGTGTTTATCCTCATCTTGTGCCATTGTCCAGTCCATTTCTTTGTGTCTTTGCTTCTTTAATGAAGGGGCTTCAAGCTGTCTTCCCTTTTCTTGTGCTCAAGTATGGTCCTCCCTTTCCTCAAAATGTAGTTCTTAAACTCATGACTGTGCTTATAGTGACCTTACATTTTAGGGATAAGACATAATCCTCTTCAGCCCTCTTAGCTCTTCTTTTGATTGCTTTTAACTTTTTTTTTGGCGCTATCTTGTGTGCGTCTCTTTGGTTATAAATCCTGTGATGCAGTTGCAGCTGTTGTGCTTTTTGTCAGTGTTTCAGTTCAGGAGCCAGCAGCAGTCAAGTCTTGTAATCTCTGCCAAATGAAGGGGCATCTGTATAGGCCTGCAGCAAATTGATCCAAAAAGCATTTGAAACAATCCAGATGTGATGTCTTAAAGTAGACACTAGAGATCTGTTGTTGACAATTAGGACATTTTACGCTAAGTAAGCCACCTACTTGGTTGGAAACACATTTGGCATTATAATCCTGCCCCCACATTTCCCTGACACCTTTTCTTAATATGTATGAAAATGTACTACATGTACATAGCAGTCGCCTTCTAAAAATACTTTTAGTATGTAAGTTCATGTCCACCCCAGCATCTGTATGAAAGCATATTGAAAGCTACTGTCCTGGAGTCAAACTTGGCAAATAGAGTTGATTCTGATGCTGATTATGAATCTTCATAAACTGTAGATCTCTGTAGAGGTGGTTTCCTCCCTGAAGCAGCTCCATTTGTTAATGTGACCTTTACCCATGCTCTCTTGCGGGGGAAGTTCACTGCAGAGAAGCTGAACAGACTCAGTACTTTAAACAGACTCACGCCTCTGATTTTAACCACAGTATGCCATAGTACTGCAGTCACTGTTTGTTCACTTTAGTCTTGATTCTGCTGAGGCCATAAAGTCAAATTAATTTGACCTGCAATTTTCCCCCAGCACCAAACAGCCTGCATGTATAATAGGATTGTTTATACAGGTGGCTGAAGCTGGGTTGATTTTTAGATGATGGAAAAGGTTTGAGGTGTAGAAGAAAATCAGCTTTCCAACTGTGTGTGTGCATGTCTTCTGTTTTGATTTGTAAGTCTCTAAATCACTTTTTGTTTATATGTATGTGTGTGAGGGTTGAGCTCCCTATTTGAGTTCTTCATTTGTAAGTGCCTATTTTAAATCTGGAAGGAAAAGAGGGTCTAATTTTGTTATGGATGTGTTTGCTAAGGCTGGTCACTGCCAGCTCACCCTCTACACCTAAGGCAAGAAATACACACACTCTGTTTCTGTCTGTATTTCTTCAGTTTCCTTCCACACGCATACACAGACATTAATATTCAATTACAAGTACACTAGGAAAAAAAAGCACCAAACAGGTACATTTAGGTCTGTAAGCATTGCTGCCAACACCCACAAACAAGCCTGTTGTTCTGCAGCCAGGTCTGTCTTGGACCAGTGGATGACTGCTATTCAAAGACAGAAGCAGCTTTAGTGACTGTGGAGAGTCAGGCTGTACAAAGAGCCAAAAATAGAGCAAAGGGGCAAACAAAAACAAATGCTGAGCAACTGAATGGACAGCAGAGACACCAAATCAGAGGAACAATAATTCTCCAGCATCTGAGGTATTAAGAAAATCCAGAGATCATATGGACTGATGGAAATGTGCAAGAAACCATTCAGCCCAAACAATGCAACTTTTTTTTGTAATGTATGACACGAGTAAAATTTCCTATTAAAATGGTCCATAATGGATTGATTCCCAATCACTGGACTGCAGTTCTTATTTCAGTGTTATACCTTAAGCTGAAAACGTTATAGCACAAAAGGACGGATAGGTAGAGGTGTGAGGAAACAAGAGCCATCAAATGCCAGCTGTGCCAGCTGTTTGCTCAGTTGCATCAGGTTCATGATGTCACAAGTTTAAATTACACGTCAAACTAAAATACCTTTTAAATTTGAACTGATATCATGACAATAAATCAAATCAAATCAAATCAAATTTTATTTGTATAGCGCCAAATCACAACAAAAGTCATCTCAGGACACTTTACAAACTAAGGTCTAGACCTTACTGTTATCAATATTATTACATAGGGAAAACCCAACAAATCCCCCTTGAGCAAGCACTTGGCGACAGTGGGGAGGAAAAACTCCCTTTAACGGAAGAAACCTCCGACAGACCCCGGCTCTTGGTGGTGGTGCAGGACAGCCCGGGGCACATCCACTGTCGCCCCCCACCGGTCCAGGAGGTCCAGACTGACAATACAATCGTCCTTTATGTCAGCCAACCAGAACTCATGGACTGTCTGGTTACCTCCCACCACCACCGAGACAATTTAACTATATTAATGGGACTCGGGTTGTGAAGATTAAATTAGATACACTCGAACGGAGTGCGCAAAGGTAGTTCCAACAAAACAACTAACGTCAACAATGAAGCTTTGCGAGGCGAGTAGCGAAACTAAATTTACGAAGAAAAACAAATGCTGTCAGCTTTTCTTTATTACAGGTGTGCTAAGTTTAAGGAAAAATCACTCAAACGGCTCAATCATCATCACTTTCAACAATTTAAAACCTATAAATGATTTTCAATGAACTTTCCTTAACTCACCAAAACAGTCGTCTTGTACGGAAAAGGGGGCTGGTATAAACACAATGTCCCCAGTGATTCTATTAGCCAAACCCAATGTCAATCTACTGCTTCTGTCATTCTCATTTGTCAGTTCTTTGCATGTGTAATCTCTTCATGCATCACCACAACAGTAAACACGGGGTGGGTTTAAGTAATGAAAATGACCAAAGCGAGTATACCACGAGTAATAGTTATGTAACACTTAAACTTCTGTATAATAAGCACATTTTCAACATTGTATACAACTGAAACGGAACAATAGAAAGTAAAAAAATATAACTAAGGGTTGGAGTAACACTTAAAACCTGAAAGTGCCGAATGTAA